TGTCATCAAAGGAAGATGAACTAGCTTCAGTGAGAAAAGAAGTGTGGAAAGAATCAAGGTGTTTGGGAGGTCTGGTTACTCTAGGGGCTTTGCGAAGAGCAATGGGGAGAGTAGGAGGGGAAGAAGGAAGAGGTGGTGCTGGAGGAGGTGTGTGTATAGGGGAGGCAGGAGGTGAGGGTACAGGAGAAGGTGATGGTGAGGGTAAATAATCAGGATCAGAGGTCTCATGGACATTGTGATCCTGAGGAAGAGGGAGATCATCATCAAAAAAGAAAGGAGGAGGATGATCTGTTGGGGAAGAAGTGGCTGCAGGTGTAGTTGTATTGTCAGAAGAAGGCAAGAAAGGAAATTCAAACTTATTGAACTCAACATCCCTGCTGGTAAACACTGAATGAGTGGCCAGATCATACAACTTAAAACCCTTGACACCAAAAGTATATCCCAGAAAAACTGCTTTGACAGCTCGAGGTGCAAACTTTGGTTTGTGACTCTCAGTGTTTGTGGCAAAAGCAAGACAGCCAAACACTCTAAGATTGCTGTAATCAGGAGGTATACTAAACAAAATCTCAAAAGGTGACTTGTTGTGCAGGACAGGAGTGGGAGTTCTGTTGATAAGGTAGATGGCATGCATCACAAAATGACTCCAGAAACTGACTGGCAAGCCTGACTGAAATTTCAAAGCCCTAGCCACATTGAGAATGTGCTGGTGCTTCCTTTCTACCCTGCCATTCTGCTGAGCAGTATGAATACAACTCATTTCATGAATGCAACCCTTCTGCTGATAAAAGGAAACCATCTTAAACTCCTGTCCTTGATCAGAACGCAGTACTTTTATCCTCCTACTAAACTGAGTCTCAACCATTGCAAAGAAAGACTGAAGTAAACTCTTAACTTCAGACTTGTGACTCATCAAATACAACCAAGTGCAGCGACTATGGTCATCAACAACAGTAAGAAAATACTGAAAACCATCATGAGAAACAACATTAACTGGCCCCCAAATATCACAATGTATTAGATCAAAGGGTTCTTTGGAATAGGAAGTGCTTCTGGGAAATGGTAAACGTTTTTGCCTAGACAAGTGGCAAACTTCACAATCCAAACTGTGTGGTAACTCAACTTCAGTACAAGTTTGTTTAATTTTTCTCAATCTATCTAAAGAAAGATGGCCTAGCCGTTTGTGCCATAAACTGGAACTCTCTGAACTGGTGCTCACTCCAAAAATTTGTGGGTTGCAAGTCTCTCCTGGGCCACTGGAATCTCCAAGAAGGTAAAGTCCTCTACTTACTGGGATTAAACCAATCCTCTGTCGAGAGATAAGGTCCTGAATGGAGCAAAAAGTGGATTGAAACAACAATGAGACAGGGCTGTTTTTGGTAAGCTGACTAATTGAAATCAGATTATAGGAAAAAGAGGGCACTAAGAGGACATTGGTGAGGAATATGCCACAAGGCAGTTTAACTACCCCCAAGTGTGTGACAGATGCTTGTTGACCATTTGGAAGGGTAACTGAGACATCATGCACCTTCTTACATCTCAGGAACAAAGAAATGGAGCAAATGATGTGATCACTTGCTCCTGTGTCTAACACCCACACACACTCACTGTTTCTATGTGTCAAAGTTGATAGGGATAGTATACCTGACATAGGTTGTGATCTAGTGATCACAGCGTTGGCCTGAGAGGATCCATGAGAACTAGAAGCAGGTTGAAGCAAAGCTTTGAGTCTTGTAAGTTCATCTACTGTAAATCCAGTAAAGGTTGGAGAACGTGGTTCCTGTTGACTGACGGGACTGGTAGGAGAGTAGCTACCAGCTCCTCCTGAAGGATTGTCCTCTGGTGCATTCACATCAACAGAACCAGCAAACCCTCGGCCTGCATTGTTACCTCTGCCTGGGTTGTTTCCAAGTAGACCATTTTTTCTCTTAAGCTTCCAGCAGTCCTCCTTGACATGGCCTTCCTTTTTGCAATATCTGCAAAACAGTCCTCCTGGTTGATGGTCAGCTTGACCTTTGTCCTTTGGTTGATTGTATTGAGTCCTGGAGGCTGCAAGAGCGGTGGCTAGTGCTATGGCTTCTTCAGATTTACCAGTATTGGCACTAGCACCATCAAGTTGCCTTTCAAGCTGAACAACAGAACGATAGATGCTATCCAGATCTGGGAGAGGATCTAGCATAAGCATCTGAGTTTTCACTTGCTGGTATTTCTCATTCAGACCCAACAAGAAACGAATCACTCTTCCCCTTTCTTCATACCTCATAACAGTAGCATAAGTACCAGCAGCACAATCACAATAGGGTATAGGTTGATAGGTTTTCAATTCATCCCAAGCCAACTTTAAATTGGTGAAATACTGTCGAACAGTTTGATTTCCTTGTTTAGCCAGGTCAATTTTCTCTTGCAAATTAGCTATTCTTATGGAATCTCCTTGGCTGAACTTAGATTTCAGATAAGTCCAAGCTTCTGATGCAATTCCAATATTTCGAAGACTAGGAACAATATCTTCAGACACAGAGTTCCTAATCCAGCAAACAACAGTACCATTCACACGATCCCAAGTTCCATAAGACGGATCTATCAAAGGAGGTACCTGAATGGTTCCAAGAACAAAACCCAGCTTGTTCTTCGTGCGCAGAGCAACTTCCATGGACTCACTCCAGAGAAGGTAATTATCATCAGTCAACTTGAAGCCGATGACTGGTAGAAAGGAGTTGTCGCTTTGTGCCAAGTAGAATGGGTTGGAATAGGGGTCTTCGTAACGAGGAGGAGGTGGAACCTCCTTCTCAGCAGAATCCGAAGCCTCTCCTTCAGCCATGGCGGAATGCGAAGTGTAAGAAGAAAAAGAGTAAGATCAAAGAAGGAAGAAGAGGTATGCAGATGCCTTAACCATGCTCTGATACCATGAGAAGAAAGTAAATCTGAGAGCTGCTAGGGTTTGTAAACACAAAGAAAGCAGCGATAGGTTTGGAGGAATTTGGCAGAATGCCTTCTCATTCCAAGTGGAGCAGAATATATACAGAGTCAGTTAATTACATTTCCTAATTTACTGTTCCAACGGCTATTAGTAACTAACAGACTAAACTAACCAATTACAGACTGACAAGTGGCTAAGTATGGAGCTGCTACTTGGACGACGCTGAAGAGGAACCAAACGCCGTCGTCTTCACTTATTTATATACGGCCTTACTCTCTTTTGGATCGGGTGAAAGGAAGCCCGATACAACTTCAGGCCCAATGCTCTGCACTTCGTCTTCTTCCTTAAGCAGAGTGTAGCTCTGTAGAATAACTCTGTTCTTCCTCTTGTACACTCTACTTGACACAGCGAGTAAGTAAACATGATGTGGGGAGTTGGGAGATTTGTAGGAAACGAAGAAGAGCGATTTTGTAGGAAGTCAAAGGACAGTGGGGAATGGAAAGGAACGGAGCAGAGCAACAGCTCCGTCATCGTTATTGGCTCTTCCTTTTTTGCTGTTCTGGATTTTGCTTATCAATGTTTGCGGTTCTTTTACTTTAGCTTTACTATACTAAATAAATTAATTAATATTGAGAAATGAGGTGGTGTCCCTGTCTCTGTCTGTCTGTCCGGCTGCCGGCCCCAGCTTCCTCGTTTTCTCCATTTCCCTTTTCTTATTTTTTCTCTTTACTAAATCCTTTTTTGATGCTTTAGTTGTATACTTTGTGACTAATTAATTAACTAACGATGCTGTGTGTGTTTGATAATCTTGCTTTGCTTAGTAGCTTTTTGAATATAATTAAATGGTGGGCTGGGACAGGGGTTGGTGCGGATGATGTGAGTTGCTGAGTGCCCACCACTACACTAGCAAAGCAAGCAGCCCTCTTCACCATCCATCGCTCTCTACTATCGTCATGTGTTGGCAGTCAGCTTTTCTGTTTCATTTGTAGTACCAGTACCAGTAGCAGTTTAAATTATTAGGAAAGTGGTAAATATGTGCTGCTACATGTGTCACGTCGGCATGGGTAATAATATAATAATAATAATAATGTATCGAGTGAGCCATGAAACAGTATTGAACTACTGATGGATATAAGAGGATTTTGTGCTCCTAAACTTCGCTCTGGGCCGCAGGCCCATCTCACTCGCTCGTGTTTTTTACATTCATTCCCCTTTTTGCTTAAAGAAATAATTCGTAACGTAATTAATAGTTTATATTTAGCGGGAGGGATCGGGGAGGAGGTGGAGGGAAAATTGGTGCGGACCCCACGACGACAGACAGGAAATAAAAAAATAAAAAACGAAAAGGAAAAGCCGAAGGCATCTTTAGTACGGTGGCAATGGCACAACACAATCACAATAATCTCCTTCTACTCCTCCGCCGTGCCGTGTGGTAAAACAGAAAAAACGTAAAGGTGAAAAAGGAAGGACGCAGTCGCAGAGAGAGAGAGAGAGCGGGGCGTTACCAGTTGCCACCGACCCTCTGCTGCACCTCCACCTCCCTCCGCTCCCAAAGGCTGAGACCCTCCTTCCCCCTCGCCTCGCCTCACTATTATTCAGGATTCAGTATTTTTCACTCACTCGCCTCGCCACCACCTCCGCCACCACCGCAATCATCGTCGGATTTCAGAGTCACGCTTTGCTATCCCACAGACTCCGGGACCACTCTCTCCCTTTCTCTACACTACACTCTACTACTGCTGACCGAGCTAAACTCCCTTCTCATCATCACTTTCTTTCTAGGGTTTCTCTCACGTTTTGGCCTTCCCTTCCCTTTCCAGTCCCTCAATTCCCCCCCTCCCTCCTAAATCCCAGTCAATTAATTGCAGTGCAGATACACCACCAGAAGAATCCATCACCAACGCGGATCGAAGCTTATTTCTCCACCCGCGCTTCCCCTGTACTGTGGCTACTGTTGTGACTATGGCCTGTCATCGTAATTAAGCACAACTTCCGAGATTGACCGTTGCTGGTGATTGATGATTGTTACTGCTCCGCCGTATCTACCAACTAGGCCGCCAGATCGTCACACTCCCTCCCCTTCGATATGCATTTCGCCAAGCTCGACGACTCTCCTATGTTTCGCAAGCAGGTTTGTTTCTTTCCGCTTTGTCTCTTTTTGGGTTTTGGAATTTGGTTTAGGCACCCTACCTTGCGCTCAACTTTTGATTTCAAAGCTTCCCCCCCTCCTCCTTTTCAATTGTCCCCTCCGATTTCTGTTCCTTCATTTTCCAACCAGCTGATTCTTTGTGTTTTAGGGAACCCGGGATTTTGATTTCCTGTTCCTTTCCTCTCTTGTCCTTTCCACTTGTTTTTTTTCCTTCCTCTTTTCCTTGCTTCCTTTAGGTGGGTAACCATCCTTCATGGATTGGCTTAACTTCCGCGACCTGTTAAAGAGCTAATGCAATTATTGATTCTTAGCTCTTTGTGCAACTAATGCTATTGGAACTGGCCTTTATGTCACCGGCGGAAAAATAGCTCATTCACCGCTATTTCCTTTTGTTTTTGTGCCAATTTGATGGGCAATTTTCATCCACTCTCCACCAAGGACAGCTAAACTGAAAACTAACTAGTTCGTTCTCCAGTTATTGAAGTTCTTGGGCTTGTAATGGCTTGGAGAATTTCACCGGCTAATATTTGTCTAAGAATGCCGACTCACTCTCCTTTTGTAGCTCTCTTTCTCCATGCCCTGCAACTGCTTTTACTTCCCTGACTTTGATGTTACTGTGGGTGTCAGTCCCCTGTTGCTCACCTCCCCAGCTCGCTCCTCTTTCCTAATTCTGTAGTTGTTATCGTCTACCCTTTTGGTGTGTGTGATAGGGTTCAGTCAATTGCATGTTTCCTACTTTGATAGTGTTTACTGCCTATTGTTTGATTCTCAGTTCTGTTCTTTCTATGGTGAAACAGATCTTATCCTTGGAGGATAGTGCCGAGTCATTGAGGGAACGATGCTTGAAGTTCTACAAAGGATGTCGAAAATACACGTATGCCCTTTTCATTCTGTTATTGATCCTATTCCTTTTATCCACAGGGCAAGAGAAAAATGAACTCAGTCAGGCCCTGTATTTGTTTTAGAATGCTTCGAACTAGACTCTTGAAGATGGTTCAGTTGAGTCAATTTGCGTATTACGTGCTTTGAATGGGGACATTGTGTTTCTACCTCTTGATGAATAACCTACCCCCATTCTATCCCAATTTCTCTGCCTGCCTTCCTTTGTGAACTATGATATCTGTAAACGATGTGTTCTTTGAGGACTTGTCTTTGATTTCTCATTGCCAGTGAAGGACTTGGGGAGGGATATGATGGAGACATTGCTTTTGCTAGTGCACTGGAAAGTTTTGGTGGAGGGCACAATGATCCCATTAGTGTGGCTTTCGGAGGTAATTCAATTTGACTTCGTTACTCTTATAGTCGCTAGACATTTGTGGTTTTTTAGCATTCGCCGTTGGTCTTCTGTAAACTGTGTTATTCTTACGTTTCATTTTCTTAAATGAGTCCGAGGTTCTTGGTCAATATATGTTTGTAAAACTTTTGGCTCCGTATTGTTAGCGGATCACAATCTTTGTCACTTAAATTGTTAACGATATGAGAGTAATGTGATAGAAGTTTTGCCTCGGCTCAAAGATCTTTGGTTGTTCATGCAGGCCCTGTTATGACCAAGTTTACCATAGCATTGAGAGAAATTGGAACATACAAGGAAGTACTTAGGTCACAGGTAAAATTCCTGAATACCCATTGGTTGGGTCAGCATTTTGTTTGGCTGTCCTTATTTTCGTGTTAAGTGAAGTCTGCTATTGATCTATAGATTTTCATTTCTTAGATATGCTGGCGCTAAGCTTAAGCATGTTGGTTATGATTGTTTTTTATAATTTTGTTTCTCCAAAATAGAATGGTAAGTCTGACAATTTATTCTTATCAAGGGAGTGTTATCTTTGACAGTGTGCTGTTGTTTGATATGTTGTCATCTGAACTGAGCCTATTTCCCTCTGGTTCGTTTTCCAGGTTGAGCACATGCTAAATGACAGACTACAACAGTTTGTGAATATCGATCTGCATGAGGTGAAGGTACAAAAACTTGACAAACTTTCTTTGAAGTCAGTGTGATTCTTATGAGAGAACATTATCGAGGATGACATTTATTGTATATATATGCTGTATCATATCAGCATAATGCTTAACGTGCTGTCTTTGTCTTGTTGCAGGAAGCGAGGAAGCGCTTTGACAAAGCGAGTCTTATCTATGATCAGGTGTGTCTTTTCTATCACAATCCTTATGGATTTTGCCATGCTCATAGACAACTTGTGTGCATTACCCTGTTTGAATAATAGAACGTTTGCAAGAAAAAATGGAGGGATGTTTTATTATTAGAAGTGGGCTTGCAATTTTCAGCTGCATGTGGATAATCAGTCATCGTTCTGCATCATTGTCTTGGTTATTGAAGTCCTCTATGCTGGTGGGAGAAGCATTAGTATACCTTTGCAGTTCATGTAGCATATAACTGCGAGGACTTCAGAAATTATTCAGTCATCCGAAATAAACAGAATAACTTCGAAGATGCCTTGTTTGATTCCCAAAGTATGAATATTTCCATTGTATAAGCTGGAAACTCAAGTACTAATATGTACATTTATTACAACACTTTCTCTCCATGAAATGTTGCACAGTATATTTGGAGTTAGAATTGGGCGGGGGTATGGATTTTCAGCCAGTTGGTTATAATGTTTATTTTCTATTAGTATTTTGTCAATTCCCAAATTTTAATGTTCTCTCTAGGCACGAGAGAAGTTTCTGGCACTGAGGAAAGGCACAAAGTCTGATGTAGCCAGTGTCTTGGAGGAGGTATAGTAATCTCTTTGCTCTTTTCTTCAAAATTCCGTTGACTATGATGAACTATCTTTTCTATCTTTTATGCTAATGTGGCATGGTATTTATGCCAGGAGCTCTATAATGCTAGGTCTGCCTTCGAGAAAGCTCGCTTTAATCTTGTAAGTATGTCTACCAAGTCAGATGGTGTGTCTCTAATTATAGTAATATTTTTGTTTGAGCTTACATGTCCTCTTCGGTACATGACTTTACGTAATTGCTCCTACTCTGTCTAGGTAACAACCCTTTCTAATGTTGAAGCGAAAAAGAGATTTGAATTTCTGGAAGCTGTCAGTGGCACGATGGATGCGCATCTTCGCTACTTCAAACAGGTTCGTAGATTCTGTGTTATTGTTTTTGTAGTTTTTTTCTTGTTTGAGCAAAGGCCAATGACTAAAGTTATTATGTGTAGGGTTATGAATTATTGCACCAAATGGAGCCATATATAAACCAGGTTTGTCATTATGCTGCTGTTGTTTTTATTGCCAGTCTATTTGTTCTACATCTCATCTATTGGTACTTCTTACTGGTTCTGTCATATGCGGAAATGCTTATTTGGTCAATCAATGTTTTTCTTATGCGAGACTGTGATTGGGAGTATAGAATATGAGGAAGCCATGGAGGGTTTACTTTGTGAATGAATGTACAAGTTCTGCATTTATATTGTGGCTTAGACATTGATTACGTGAGTAGGGCTTGAATGACAAGGATGATGGAACTTTTACTTGTTAGTGCTATATTTATATCTGTGGTATCTGCTAGAGATGAGTGGGGAATACAGAAACATAACTTGGGAATCTTGAATGGGTGAGAATATAAATTACGGTTGTTACAGGTTACAGACCTGTGGGTAAACTAATATCTGAAGCAACCAGCACTGTTAGTTTGTTAGCAGCCTCAATGGGGAAAATGATCTAGATCTTGGAACATCTACTATTGGTTTAGTTTCTTCAGTTATCGGACATGTGATAACCAGTTCTTTTGATATTTACACTAGACCAAACACGATATGTAGGGAGATGGATTATCAGAATAAGTTGTTGCAAGTGTAAATGTTGTGTTTTCAGGTTCTCTATTTGGAATAATCAGAATATGATACCTCTTGTTATCTGCAGGTTTTAACTTATGCTCAGCAATCAAGAGAGAGATCCAATTACGAACAGGCTGCACTGAATGAAAGGATGCAAGACTACAAGAGGCAGGTGGATCGTGAGAGTAGATCGTCTTCTAATGGTTCTAATGGATCCCCCAATGGTGATGGTATCCAAGCTATTGGTAGAAGTTCCCATAAAATGATAGAGGCAGTTATGCAATCTGCTGCCAGGGGAAAGGTACAGAATATCCTATCTTACTTGGGTTGGTTTGCCTTCGTTCTGTATCTTCTTCTGAGCTACAAAGCAAAATTTCAGGTACAAACCATCAGACAAGGTTATCTATCAAAACGATCGTCAAACCTAAGAGGAGACTGGAAAAGAAGGTTTTTTGTTCTTGATAGCCGAGGCATGTTGTATTACTATCGCAAACAGTGCAGTAAACCTTCTGTAAGTGCTTTAGTAAGAGGTGAAAGCATTACAAAATCAACAGATTGTCCCGAGTTCTGTTCATGATATTTCACGCAACAGTCAATCCTTAACAGCATCACAATATATTTCAGGGTTCGGGAAGTCAGCTTACTGGTCAGAGAAATAGCTCTGAGCTTGGATCTGGACTATTGAGTCGGTGGCTTTCATCTCACCATCATGGAGGAGTACATGATGAGAAATCGGTTGCTCATCATACTGTGAACCTTCTTACATCGACAATTAAAGTTGATGCTGACCAGTCGGATCTGCGATTTTGTTTTAGGATCATATCGCCAACAAAGAACTATACTTTGCAGGTATCACTTATGATAAAGTCTTTCTGAGACAAGTCCACCATGATGCTGGGGGGTACATTATTAAATAATCTATAATCCAAGGTTTATGTCTGCAAGTTTTTTATTTATATGTATGCTTGTTTATGTCTGCTCAGTGGTTATTTTCTGCATGTTGAGGTGAGGGTGATTGTGGTGTTTAACTATACAGATCCCTAACAATGTCTAGTGTTCCTGTCAGTGCAGGCAGAGAGTGCATTGGATCAAATGGATTGGATTGAGAAGATAACAGGAGTTATTGCATCACTGCTTAGCTCTCAAGCTCCTGAGAGGGTAATGATTGATAATGTTTCATGATCAAATTATGTTCAGTTATATTGTGTGCACTTTATGATTGTACGTGTGTTCCATTTCAGGGTCTTCCTGGCAGTCCGATGGGAAGTAGTCATCATCGTTCAGCAAGCGAGAGCAGTTCATTTGAAAGTACCGATTTTGACCACCCTGGCGTCGATGAGTACGCATGCGAGAGAAGCTATTCCAGTGCACATTTTGACCGACAGCTGAGAAGTTCACAACAACAGCAAAGAGTGTCTGTTGAGAAGCCAATTGATCTGTTACGAAGAGTCTGTGGAAATGATAAGTGTGCTGATTGTGGTGCCCCGGAACCAGATTGGGCATCCCTAAATCTTGGTATCCTTGTTTGTATCGAGTGTTCAGGTGTTCATCGAAACCTTGGTGTGCACATATCAAAGGTATGTTCATCTATTTTCACCAATCTGGCATTTCAGAGTTTTCACCTTCTGGAGCTTACTTGCATCTTTAAATGCATCACAAAATACAATAGTTTATACAACTACAGGATCTAAGCTTTACAAACCATTAGTGAAGAAAGTGAATTAGTTATTATTCTATTCGGGTATTCTCGATAGGCCTACCATTCCATTACCTGATCCACTGCATAGTTTGTCCTACTTCTAAATTTTAAGTGCTTCTTGTGTACTAATTACCATCTTCTTTGTCGTTTGGACTTGTGTTGCAGGTGAGGTCTCTTACACTGGATGTTAAAGTCTGGGAACCTTCTGTTATAGGTTTGTTTCAGTCTCTAGGAAATGCCTTTGCTAACTCTGTTTGGGAGGAGCTATTGCAATCAAGAAGTTGCTTCCAAGCTGATGTCATTTCTTCAGGGTAATCCTTTTCTCTGATCCATTTAGAGATTCCTTTTATCCTGCCACTATATATATTGTTTGTTTCCTATGTGTGTTTGCTTACATCCCCGCCTGTATTTTATCTTCTGGTGAAGCTCATACAAATCTACAAAACCACAACTGCTTTTCCTTGGGAAACCCAGTGCTGCTGATTCTATACCCGTGAAGGAGAAGTTCATCCATGCAAAGGTACATAGTTCCGTAACTTGATTTGCAATACTTAACATTTGCACTGTATGTTACATATACTCTTGCTATTAATATTGCTTTAGTGTTCTTTATTCTTTTGCAGTTGAGTAGATATCGCATGTGACTAAGACTTGCCATGTCTGATTTTGGTTTCCTGTGTTTATAGTACGCAGAAAAGCTTTTTGTTCGGAAGCCCCGGGAGAACCAGTATCTTCATCAGCAGATGTGGGAAGCGGTTCGTGCTAACGACAAAAAGGCTTTATACCGTCTCATGATTAATAACAAAGTGGACATCAATATGGTCTATGACCAAGCCACGTTCAGCCCTTCTCTAACGCTCGCTAAAGCAATGCTATTGCAAGAGCAAACAGGTGCCAGTCACTGCTCTGGTTGCTCAACGGCCTCTGTCAACTCGGTTGGAACAAATGAAGGAGGCCAGATAGTAGTGGATGATGATTTAGATGGTTGCACATTGCTTCACCTGGCTTGTGAGACTGCTGACATCGGCATGCTCGAGCTTTTACTACAGTATGGGGCGAATGTAAATTCAACCGATTCAAAAGGTCGGACGCCGCTCCATCGCTGTGTTACCAGGAGAAGAGCAGCTTTTGCAAAATTACTACTAGCAAGGTAAAGTCCGATTGTTGACCCTGTATATGGAAGCACAACCTGCAGTGGTGCACTTGGATCTTGAATGGCATGGCTGATGAATACTGATTGATCTTTTTGTAGGGGGGCTGATCCTCAGGCTGTAAATGGGGACGGTAAAACTCCTATGGAGCTGGCAGTAGAGACAAACTTAGTAGAGAATGAGGTGATTGCTCTATTATCCGACTCAAATGGATAACTTGAGTGGATTGGGGCAAATGGGCCATATTATGATTGTTTTATTCTTGTAAAGCATGTTATTGTGGAAGCTGGCAAAGGGGGATAGATTATGGTTTAGCTGTTCCCACATGGTGAAGGATGTTAGTGGGTACTTGATCATGTACGTGAGGAGTGAATTTTGGGTGAGGATCATTGATTCATTTGCCCTACGGAAATGGAGCCCTCATCCGGTTGAGTATAGAAGTAAGTGGCTTGGCTTGTAGTAATCTGTTTTGTATGGGCTGGTTTTGTGATGGTATCGCTTTCTTTCTGTTGGGCGTATTAGACCCTAATCAGGTAGTCAGGTTGTTTTGTTGGTAGGGGAGGAGGTGGGTGCATACTGCAGTGTGTAATTTTGGTGTACATTATGATTATTGGTACGTGTTGTAGCAATGAAGAAGCTTGTGGTTGTGGCTGTAGTTGATGATGACCATGACCTGATGATGTATAAAGATGGAAGTTCCTCTGCTTCTGTGTTGTATTTGTCTGTCGCTTCCTTGAGTGATCACCAGCCATGAAATGCTTCTTGCTGTAGTTTCTCGTGCTTTTTCCTCTTTGGATGCTGGCTATGACAGCACATTGTTGTGCTTTTTTAAGGTTGGTATAGAGACTGGGTATTGCAGGGGAAAGGCTGGGTCCAACCTAACAACCAACCTTGTGTAGAGGAAGAAGGAAAAGAAAAAGTAGCAGAGGAGAGAAAGGCAAGGGATTATTGGTTGCGAGCACATAAAGTGGTTACTTATACTTGTAAGTAAGTGAGTAATAGCAGCTGGGCCATTTGTTTAATCAATCATAGTACAAGAAAAAAGTGATGGTGGAGGTCTGGCTTTTGATGGAAAAGGAGGTTGGAAAAAGCAAATTATCCTTCCCGCATAATTATAGACCAGAAATGAGAGAGAGGAAGCAGCTGGACATAGGTAACAAGTAAACAAGGGGTGCCTGCCAGAAATGAAAGAAGCAGCAATACGAAAGTAGTGGGATTAGTAATTATGAATACAGATTGCAACGCCACGTTTGATAACTTCAAAGGGGGCCGGGTAAAATAAAATACCCTTAATTAATCCCTTCTTTTATTTCATGAACATAGAAAAATATTTCAAGTTGAATCGATGGATGGATCGATCTTCAGACAGACACGACTGTTCGGGCTGTGATATTATTATAATTACTTGCATTGGAAGGCAGGTGGTGCATTCTTATGACAAGTAGAGAGCAGGAGGTTGAGAGCCAACGGAGCATCGACGTTGAGTCCCAGCAGACCCGCTTTGAGGGCCGTACAGAGGCAAACCGCAGCTTCCAGGTCCGTCAGGCCCAGCAGCGCTGCACAACAAGGCTTACTCGCTGCGCCTGTGGGGTCGCCAACCTTGACGTTCAGCAAAGGCGCACATACTGCCAGCTTTACAAGATCGATGGAGCATTTGGCTGCTGCACCAGTAGTTGATTCTGCAGCTCCGCCTGAATCTAAGCTCATCAACTGGAGGAGCACTACTAGCACTGCCAGTGACACAAGATTAACACGATCCATTCTCGAGAGACAATCCAGCCTTCTATATCTTGATTCTTCAATGGCGGGAGCTTCTTAATTCACTTGGTACTTAGCTTGTAGATGGCACTCAACGTTCTGGGTGGTGGTGGCCTTTATATATTAGGACTCCCATCGCTATGGATCAAATGACCCATCAACGCGACCGGTCATCTTTAAGTCTATCAGAGTGGTACTCTGAAGTAGGATTAGGACTCCCCTGACGAAAGGCCTAGAGATTAGATCAGAATAGAGATTCCATACCTTGACGTTTCCAGGTTGATAGTTGCCCACAATTTTGGGAGGCCTTACTTTTCCCTGTGCTCCTACCTAATATAATTTTGTTCCCAACACACAAGTGTAAGCAACTTCAAGCCAATAATGTATCTCCTTCACTTCTTCTGGCAGCTATCATATACAAGTCTAAGCAACTTCAAGCCATTTCGGTATCTCCTTCACTTCTTTCGTCAATACATTGGTTATTATTAGTATTATTAGTATTATTAGTATATATAAAGAGTAAGTATGCTTAAGGGGTCTGGTAGGATGGAATTAGGTGTATTGTAACTTTTGCGCACCCCTTCTCCAATTATTATTATTATCCCGTTTTCTCCCCTCCGTCGATAACATGGCGGCTGGCCAAGAAGTGTATCCTTCTCCAATAGGCGATAGGCAAGTGGCTACTCTTTATATATACTAATTATCCCGTTTTCTCCCCTCCGTCGATAACATGGCGGCTGGCCAAGAAGTGTATCCTTCTCCAATAGGCGATAGGCAAGTGGCTAGGTATTGAGCTCTTCTCTCTTCGTCTAGCTTCCACCGGTGTTAGAAACCGATTTCTATAGGGTTTCTCTATTTATTACTATAATTATTATTAGGGTAATTATCAATAAGGTTAGTAGTCATTTAATAGAATTAGGTTTATTGTTAGGGTTTTCCACTATTTCCTATATATATGTACTTTGGGCTTCCATTCAGAATCAATAAGAAGCATATTAAGAAAATCCCTAAACCCTATTCTCTTCCAAATCCTCTCAATTTCTCTTCTTTTCCTAATCCGGCCGCCGACCATTCTTTCTCGTTCTTCCCCAAATTCTACTTCTTAATCCCTAATTCTATTCTTCAAATCCGTAAATCCCAATTATCAAACCCGTTAGAAACCTTGTTTCTAATATTTGGTATAAGAGCCCGGTTTCGAGAATTGAGTTTTTCACAACTCTCAATCGGGGACGAGTTCTACAACTGGTTCGACGATGAGCTCTTCAAGGCTCTCGGACCTGTCATGGGCGGAACTGCGGGAACAAGCCCGCCACATCGGACGTCGTTGGATCCCCGAGGAGCTACCGATCGCGCATGAGGAAGGGATGCCCAAGGAGACTGACGGAGAACTACCTCCGCAGCTGGCCGAGCGCGACACGAAGGCTGGGAAGCAGCGACCCGAGATGACATGGTCACCAAAACCTTCGAAGCTGTCGTGGGCTCAAAAGCAGGAAAAAATATGGAATATCGTGGAATATTGGAAGGCCTACGAGTTGCATCGCGGGACGGCTGACTTGAAGGATGGAGGTGACGATGTGACGGCAAGGCAGCCCCAACCGCAGAGGCTGGCAAGGCTGACGAGTGGCCTCAGCGACGAGAGTCGCGGCGAACTACGACGTCGAGGAGACCAAAGTAGCAAGCGCCGCGGAGGAGGAAGAGTTGTTGTTGGATGTTGAGGAAGCAGATCCGACAGATGGCGAGATGGAGGTGCGGATCACAGTTGTGGTCATTGCAAAGCTCAGTGGCGGCAACCCTAGGCATCACAAAGCAGAGGCGGAGGTGGGGTGCCACTGGTCAAGTTTGCCTTCTGTCGGTCTTGTCGAAGGCTTGCCAGCAGAGTCGAGGAGGAAGATGCCAATGAGGACGACACGACGAGGAAGGAGAAGACAGAGAAGAAGATTGGTGGCGGCTTGGTTCCACCCCTCGCAAATCCTTGGTCGCCACCCTGGGCTTCCGGGACTGACAGGGCAGGCTTTGGGTCATCTCGGGCCGACCTTGACGGGCTGAATCCAATGGGAGCATGTGGGTTGCGGTGGAGGATGAAGCAGGCCAAGAGAAGATCGGAGGATGGGCTGGAGTTTAGACTACAATGGTTCGAGGAAGCGGGGAGGGTGGAGCCAAGATGGGCTTCGCATGGCCCGACCCATGGGCCGCCCAATTACAATATGACAAGGACTCTATTATATGTGGTTGGGCCGATTTTGAAGGAGGAGCTGTTATTAGAATTTGTCAGAGAAGCAATTAGTGGGCCCATAGGAGTGAAACTCGAAAAGTTAAATCAACACAAGAAGAGTGGTGTGAGAAGCCCAATTGAAAAGATGGAGCGTGATTGGAAGAAAAGGAAGCGCAAGCAGTGGAGAAGCGATGATCGGATTGCGCGAGAAGGTTGGAAGAAGTCGGTCAAGTGGTTCAACCTTGAGGGCAAGGTTGGTCTGAAGGGAGAGGAGATGTTAGAAACCGATTTCTGCTCTATTTATTACTATAATTATTATTAGGGTAATTATCAATAAGGTTAGTAGTCATTTAATAGAATTAGGTTTATTGTTAGGGTTTTCCACTATATCCTATATATATGTACTTTAGGCTTCCATTCAGAATCAATAATAAGCATATTAAGAAAATCCCTAAACCCTATTCTCCCCAAATCCTCTCAATTTCTCTTCTTTCCCTAATCCGACCGCCGGCCATTCTTTCTCGTTCTTCTCCAAATTCTACTTCTTAATCCCTAATTCTATTCTTCAAATTCCTAAATCCCAATTATCAAACCCGTTAGAAACCTTGTTTCTAACAACCGGCATACTCCCTTCTCCGCTAACCAAGACTCCATTCTCCTCATGGCATTGTTACTGCCCGCTACCTCATCCCAATCCCGTAAAATCTCCTTTCCTTATGGACCCCATTCAATTGAAGCTAATGGAGTTAAATATATGTGGTTCCTCCTGTATGCTTATGCCTCATGCAATTGACTCGTTGTCTTCTTTACTTTTCCATCCTTAATCCAATTATTTGCTTCAACTTCTTGCAAACAATATATGTGGCTCCTCTCTATGCTTCTGTTTATATGTGGGTTCTTTTGGATCCCTTATTATAAGCAAGACTGCAAGAGTGTAATGGTTTCTTTATCTCCTCTTAAAGGACGTGTGATAGGTTATGAGACCTATAAATTTAGAGGCAGTGACATTTGTTTAAAAGTAGCTCTAGAGAATACACCTAGGTTTTCAACTATGATATTGATGTTTTCGTATAACATGCTCAAAGCCTTAATACCATTAACTCTTTATGTTCCTTTCGTTATGAGTTTCATGATATTGATGTTTCTATTCCTCTACTTAACGTACTAAGGTCCAACATATATAACCAAATAAATGATTGAATTTGATTTGATTATATATAGTTCATAGGTCAATATTACCGTAGCCAGAACTTCAATCGACTCTATTGTTCCTCATGATAATCATATGCAAACTTGAGAAAGAAGTGAAATATCAGTGAAAATATTCTAATATTTCAGGACAAGAACAAGATGTCAACTCTTTGTCGATAAGACTATTCCTATACAAAGTATGTATAGTTAGGAGTATGATTTGTCATTTAAACTGCTCATCATTTTCTATCTATGTACATAGCCTTCTTATATTATACAAGGACAATAAACTCTATTAGAAACTACCATTGGTAACTCACGAGCATGATAGAAAAGAGTTAGTGCCTTTGTCTTCAAATCTGAACTCCTTGGCTTTGACTTGATTTGCATGTTATTCTCTAGATCTTTCAACTACAAGGTCAATTAGTTATCTGAATGAAAGTTAGTGTAAAAATAACGTTCTTTTCATTTGAGGTTCCAAATTAGTAGACTTTCCATCAAACTAAGAGGAACCAAGGAGTAGGTCTGGTGTTACTAATCATCTGCCTTACTATACAGATATAAGGTGTCTTTTTCCTAGGACAACTAAGTCTCTAAGTGATTAATCAGGTTCTTTTTCCTTTTATGCATCGCAATGAGAACTTTAATTAGATAGTTGTCAGATTCCAAAAATTAGCAGAATCATAATTCATTGTCTGCTAGAAAGGGAAATAAATATGTTCTAAGTTTATTATGTATTAGTCAGTATGAACAGCTTTGTTTGATGCAAATTTTTGTTCTTCTGGTCAATTTGCAGCTTTGGAATGGTTAATGTAGGTGTTTACGCCTAGAAAGTGCCAGGCGGGGTTTGTAGGAACCTTAAAGGAAACCGCGTATTCCTTGAGATAGAGACCACCGTCACCTGCACAAGGGTTCGGGGCGCGGTCCGTGGACACTCTCCAACGATCAAGTTAGTATTTTGGAGAAGAGAGAGAATGAGTATAGAGAGAGAAATTAGTTACCATTAAATGAGGCAGTTGGCTCGTATTTATAGTCTGTGATGGTTGGTGTGGCATTTAATGCTCTGCTGGGCATGTCCTTAGCGACGGTTTACAAGGCTAGGCCTACGACGGCATTTAATGAAGTGTCAGTCTCGGCATGATTGGTATGGATGCTGTCTTATCAGCAGTACTCGTCCCTACGCCCTCGAATCTCGGAGCGGCCTCACTCCGGCTAGCCCACTCGCTATTGGACTTTATGCTATGGGCCCTTCGTTATTGAGCCGCCTCTTGTCTTATGGGCCCTAGTTTGGGTAGTGGTTCCCCTGGCCCAACAATTGTCCCGCAGGCGGGTAAAGCCTCCGGGTTTGGGTGGCTGAATCCTCGAGTCTGGGGCGGAGACGCTCCCCAAACCAGGGACCTGACAGCTACGACCACCCTAGCCGTCTAATCGGTGGTGTTACGCCTCGCGATGCTTATTACCCTTTAGCCGTTGCCACGTGTCTGACGACACGATTTCCCACGTTCAGTCGAAAGGACGTGCCGTCAGACGTTTGAATTTTGCAATAATTACTCCCTATATAGCCTACCTAGGGTTGCTCCGCAGCCATTTTCGAGATTCACACCTCCACTCCTTTAAAAGGCTCTCTGCAAGATCAATCGAAGGTTATTTTTCTGGCTATTTCTCAGATTTCTTGTTCTCGTTTCCTCTGGTTTTCTTCTCAATCGCATGTGTCGTCGTAACGTTTTGTCTCCGTGCTCATCATAGCCCGCTGTGCTCGCTACGAAGTCCGGCGTTTCCTTACAATTCTCGGTGGTGACAGTTCGTCGCATTTGCTACCCTCCGCCGGCTCCGAGTCCTCGCCAAGCTGGAAGAAATAGTTGGCTGGAACTTGGCGAGTTTTGATGATGTTTCCGCGGCGAGCGTAAGCACTTAGGAAGGGCTCAACATTGATGAGCAAAATTCTCCTGGGAGGCTCAACATTGAGTGGCCCGAGGATACCTCGGGCTATGACTATCGAGTTATGGCGGATGACGAATATTACGTGCACCTCCATGAGCATATGTGGGGTACGCGTGAAGTTCCAATTCGCGCTTTCGATCGGGGGCCAGATAGGTATAGTAAACTCAAACCTGCCACCGTACTCACTCGCCTTAGAAACTACCAGCTCCCCACCGACTAGAAATACGTGTGTCCATCACCGACCTCCCGAGCGGGTACGTTTCCCAAATGGCGGGTGACTATATACACTGAACAACTGAAGCTTGGCCTATGCTTCCCTCTCGAACCCATCCTCACACAGACGCTGTTGTGTTTGAACTGCACCCTTGGGCGTCTGTCGCCCACCGTTATCTTTCATGTGTGTGCTTACAAGCTTGCATGCCAGAGGGTCGAGGTCGAACCATCTTTTGCCGCCTTCCGATTCATTTATGGTCTCCGGCGGGTGTCGAACATTTAGTCATTCGGGAGGCGTGACAAGGAATACGGCTTTGTCACTAGGACTCCAAAGCTGGACTCTCCCTGGTTCAAGGATTTTTTCTACGCTAAGCCTACCACGAAATGGTATTCCGGCGACAAAGAGCCTAGAACGGGATTCGCCTACGGTCGGAGGGAGAACTGGGATGCCAAGCTTTGGACGTTGGATTCCCAGAAAGACCATGTATCAAAAATTGTTGACTTCTCGTCGTTTAACGTAAAGCCCGGGGGGCCAGACTCTGTGAAGTCCATTCTGACTGAACTCTTCGGAGATGGTCAGTAATGTTGTCGTCTTGCATTGCATTTTGCAACAAATTTTTTGAATATTGCATTGGTAACCCGCTTATTCTTTTGCAGCTATGCACATTGGTAGCGTGGCAATGATGGCCAGGCCTCCAAGGCGAGGAAAGCCCACCCTTCCGAAAACTGGAACCGCTTCCCAGGCTCCCACAAGACCCGGTCCGTCTGCCGGCATTGTTGCACCTTCTAAATCCTTGATCCCAGTGGGCAAAAACTTACCGCATGCTGGCCAAACTACGCTCGCGAGTGGAGCTGACGGTTTGATGACTGTGCAAGCAGGGGTGGAGGTGTCGCGCAAAATGCGCGATGTTGGGAAGCGTGTGGCAGAGGGCGCAGGAGACGATCAAGAGGAAGGGCAGAGACGAAGGTGACCTCTCTGACCGAGACTCTCGCGTTCTTCCCTCCTTCTTTGCTTCTCGAAGACTGTGCCCGCCGCATGCTCCACGAGTTGTCTAGGAAGCTGCTCGTGCCGCCTGAGTATACTGAAGTGGAGGATCCCTCAATAAGGCATTGGGTCAGCACCGCCGCCCGCTTTTTTCTAGCCGTAAGTAGCCTCTTTCTCATGCTGGTGGGTGTTATGTGTTGGTGTTTTGATTGACGTGCTATTTTGACTTTGTAGGCTGGAGTTGGTATGTCCCAAATTGGGATGACCAATGAAAAGCTCCATATGGCCCAGATGCGTGGTGCCGCTGAGGCGGCAAAGCTTCGTAAGCGGATTGGAGAGCTAGAGGCGGAGCCCATCAAGGGGCGGGCAACATTTCGGGCAGAGGTGAGGGTTGAGTTAGAAAAGGAGCACGCTGACATTGTCAAGGACCTTAGTGCAGAGCTGTCTCACGGCGTTCAAAAGGTGAACAACCTAATGGCGGATAAGGAGATCTTGGAAGCTAACATGTCGCGCTTATGCGGACGCGTGGAGAAGGTGGAGAAAGAGAAGGAGGAGTGTGCGCTGAGGCACAAGACTGAGGTTGATGTTGCAACCAAAGCTGCGGTCGCCACATATCTACTTTCTCCCGCGTTTCGTAAGATAGATGATGCTAAGCGCTCCCTGGTGATGACAGACACCGTGGCTTTGATTCGTCATTTGTTGCACCGTGAGAACCCTGAACTGGAATGGGACACGGATGTCGTGTGGGATGTGGTGGTTGCCTGGGGATCCTCGGAGAGTGATGTTAATTCCGAGGTTGCTCTTGCTGCCACTGCCGGAGGCGATGAACCTACTTCTCAGGGCGGGGGGGGGGGGGGGGGATTCTTGAAACATTTCTTTTTCTGTTTTGGAGTCGAGTATGTCCTCGACTATGAATAAGTGTTTGTAACTTAATTTCCTTTTTATCGTTATATTTAACGCTACCTCTTCTATGTGGTCCTCTTAATTATTTTTCGTGCCTTATGAATCCTTCTTCGTTTTCTACTTAAGTTTCGTACAGCGGGCCTTGTTGGTCTTATGCGCATATTCCTTTTGGGTTTGCGGCGGGTTATTCTTCTTTGGGGTAGCGTTTTAAGAATAACCCTTGTCCCGGGATGCGTTTCGAATGTGACCACGCTCTGCCTCAGGGTGGCGTGTTATGAGCGAGAGCCTGCCCCTCAGGGTATTCCGCGGGCAGGCTATTATGCTTTGGGGTAGCGTTTTAAGAATAACCCTTATCTCGGGATGTGTTTCGCAAGCGATCTCGCTCTGCCTCGGGGTGGCCTGTTGTGAGCGAGAGCCTGCCCCTCAGGGCATTCAGCGGGCGAGTATTCTACTTCTGGGTAGCGTATTAAGAATAACCCTTGTCCCGGGATGCGTTTTCGAATGTGACCTCGCTCTGCCTCGGGTGGCGTGTTATGAGCGAGAGCCTGCCCCACAGGGAATTCCGCGGGCGGGTTATTCTGCTTCGGGGTAGCGTTTGAAGAATAACCCTAGTCCCGGGATGCGTTTCAAATGCGACCTGGCTCTGCCTCGGGGTGGCGTGTTGTGAGCGAGAGCCTGCCCCTCAGGGCATTCCGCGGGCGGGTATTCTGCTTCGGGGTAGCGTTTTAAGAATAATCCTTGTCCCGGGATGCATTTCGAAAGTGACCTCGCTCTGCCTCAAGGCGGCGTGTTATGAGCGAGAGCCTGCCCCTCATGGCATTCCGCAGGCGGGTTATTCTGCTTTGGGGTAGCGTTTTAAGAATAATTCTTGTCCTAGGATGCGTTTCGAATGCGGCCTTGCTCTGCCTCGGGGTAGCATGTTATGAGCGAGAGCCTGTCCCTCATGGCATTCCGCGGTCGGGCTATTCTGCTTCGGGGTAGCATTTTAAGAATAACCCTTGTCCCGGGATGCGTTTCGAATGCGACCTCGCTCTGCCTCGGGGTGGCGTGTTGTGAGCAAGAGCTTGCCCCTCAAGGCATTCTGCGGGTGGGTATTCTGCTTCGGGGTAGCATTTTAAGAATAACCCTTGTCCCGGGATGCTTTTCAAATGTGACCTCGCTCTGCCTCGGGGTGGCGTGTTGTGAGCGAGAGCCTGCCCCTCAGGGCATTCCACGGGTGGGTATTCTGCTTCGGGGTAGCGTTTTAAGAATAACCCTTGTCCCGGGATGCGTTTCGAAAGTGACCTCGCTCTGTCTCAGGGTGGCGTGTTATGAGCGAGAGCCTGCCCCTCAGGGCATTCCGCAGGCGGGTTATTCGTCTTCAGGGTAGCGTTTTAAGAATAATCCTTGTCCTGGGATGCGTTTCGAATGCGACCTTGCTCTGCCTCGGGGTGGCATGTTATGAGCGAGAGCCTGCCCCTCATGGCATTCTGCGGTCGAGCTATTCTGCTTCGGGGTAGCGTTTTAAGATAACCCTTGTCTTGGGATGCGTTTCGAATGCGACCTCGCTCTGCCTCGGGGTGGCGTGTTGTGAGCGAGAGTCTGCCCCTCAGAGCATTCCGCGGGGGGTATTCTGCTTCGGGGTAGAGATTTAAGGATAACCCTTGTCCCTGGATGCGTTTCGAATGTGACCTCACTCTGCCTCAGGGTGGCGTGTTGTGAGTGAGAGCCTGCCCATCGGGGCATTCTGCGGGCGGGTTATTCTGCTTCGGGGTAGCGTTTTAAGAATAACCCTTGTCCCGGGTGCGTTTTTGAATGTGACTTCGCTCTGCCTGGTGGTGGCATGTTATGAGCGAGAGCCTGCCCCTCAGGGCATTCCACGGGCGGGTTATTCTGCTTCGGGGTAGCGTTTTAAAAATAACCCTTGTCCTGGGATGCAGTACCATTGAATTGGTGGATTCCGATGCGTAATGACGTGCATTCATCAATATTTCTGAAAATATGATTACACTTCTAGTCTACTGAATAGTACTTGCGGAGGTGGCGAGCATTTCATGTCTTGCTCACTGCTTCCCCGCTCATGGTTGAGAGCTTGTAGGTGCTTGGCCCGATCTTATCACTTATGAGATAGGGTCCTTCCCAGTTCGTAGCTAGCTTCCCGTGCCTCTCCTTCTCCTTCTTATCGAACATCCTCTTGAGCACCATATCGCCCTCCTCTAGTGGGCGAGGGCGAATTTTGTTGTTGTACACCCTTGCCACCTTCTCCGTTTCTGCAATAGTGCTAGTAAACGCTACTTCTCGCCTTTCTTCCGTCATGTTCAGTTGATGGAGCAAATTGGCGTGTTTCTCAGCTCCGTGGTCTGTGAAAATTGTCTCTGGGATTCCGAAGCGTATGAGAATGTTATTGAAGAGGAACTTCTGCACCCGGGCGCTCGTAATTGCTTCAAGCTGCTCCGCCTCTATCCATTTAGTAAAGTAGTCGACGGCGACTACTTGATGCATCTTTCCCTGCGGCGCATTAGGGAAGGGTCCCAGGTGATCCAAGCCCCACTTCGAGAAGGGCCATGGGCTTACGATTCCCTTAATTTCGGATGCTAGTTGGGGATGCTTGTCCGCGTGAGCTTGGCACGCATGGCATTCGCGCACGGTTTTCAGAGCATCCTTCTTCACCGTGGGCCAGTAATATCCTTGTAGAAGGATGGTTCTTTCAAGGCTTTTCGGGCCGATGTGGGTGGCGCAAGTACCCATGTCTATCATTTTTAACTCTTGCTCAGCCTCTACGCCTCCCAGGCACTTCAAGTATGCTCCCGTGAAAGACCGCTTGTTCAACTCTCCCCCTACTACAGTGTACCGGGTAGCTTTCCACGGAGGGCCTTTGCCGCCGCCGCGTCCTCCGGTGTCTCATCCCGCTCCAGGAACCCGATCAAACCGCTTCGCCAATCATGTTCTTTCCTTTATGCTGCATCATCTAGCTGAGCTACTTCCTTCATTACAGTGACTTGCCTTTCTCCTTCAAAATCCATTGCGGTGGCGAGCTTTGACAACGCGATCGCGTTCCCATTACCTTCACGCCTGACGTGCTCTAACGTCCACTCATCCATTTGCGCAAGCGCCCCCTGAGCTCTTCCCGCTAACTTCATCAACTCTTCCTCTTTTATCTCGAAATTTCCGTTGATCTGACCAACTACCAACGATGAGTCAGAGTAAAATTTCACTTTCTTCCCCCCCCCCCATGTTTGCGATGAGTCGCAAACCATTTATCAATGCCTCGTACTTGGCGACGTTGTTCGTCTTCAGAGCGTTGAATCACACGGCGATTTCATGGATGACCCCTTCCGAAGTTTCGATCACAATTCCCGCTCCCGCTCCTCCTTTACCTGTTGCACCGTCTACTGACAACTTCCACGCTTCATCATTTCCGCCTAGGCCCTTGTCCAGGGTCAAACCTTCGACAAAAAAATCAGTTAAGACTTGAGCTTTCACGGCTGGTCTGGGGGCGTAAGAGATGTCGTGCTCGCTAAGCTCCACCACCCACTTGGTCATCCTTCCGGAGGCGTCCATTCCTTGCAGTATTCGCTTTAGGGGGAGATTAGAGAGGATAGTGACAGGATGCCCCTGGAAACAGGACCGCAACTTTCTGGCAGTCATAGCGACCGCGAGGACCGCCTTTTCCACCACTAGGTATCTTGTCTCAGCGGGGAGCAACGATTTGCTGACATAGTATATGGGTTGATCTTTGCCATCTTCTCACCAGCACAGAGCTTACTGCCTGATGTGAGACTGCCAGGTACAGGAGTAAACGTTCCCCGTTGCCTGGTGCCCTCAGAACCGGGGGCGATGAAAGCTTCTCTTTGAGGCATAGGAACGCTTCATTACACTCCTCGCTCCATCTTAATCGGGTTGTCGATTTCTTGAGAACTTGAAAGAACGGTGAGAACTTGTCTGCGGAGCGAGGTATGAACCACCTCAGGGCTGCCATCTTTCCATTGAAAGCTTGTATCTCCTGGATTTTTTTTTTTGGGCCTTGAGTTGTAATATGGCTTCAATCTTCTTCGGGTTGGCCTCGATTCCCCGCCTCGTAATTAAGAAGCCAAGAAACTTTCCCGCCTCTGCTTCGAATACGCACTTTGATGGTTTCAGGCATAACCCGTGCTCCCTCATGTCCGTGAATGTTTCCCTTAGGTCTTGCAAATGCTTTCCTCCCTCTTTACTTTTTACCAATAAATCATCGACGTAAGCCTCCACGTTCCTTCCCAGCTGATTGCGGAGCACTGCATCTACCATCCTTCTATAGGTCGCTCCCGCGTTCTTTAAGCCGAAAGGCATCACCATCCACCAGTAGTTTCCCGTGGCCGTCATGAAAGTGGTCTTTTCCTGGTCTTCTTTGGCGAGACTTATTTGATGGTAGCCCGAGAACATGTCCAGAAAACTTAGCATAGCGTGGTTGGCAGTGGAATCGATGAGTTGGTCGATTCTCGGGAGCGGGTACGCGTCTTTTGGACACACGCTGTTGAGACTTGTGAAGTCCACGCACATGCGCCACAAACCTGAGCTTTTCTTGACAAACACCGGGTTTGCGAGCAACGTGGGGTAGCGAACTTCCCTGATGAATCCTGCCTTGAGTAACTTCTGTATCTCCTCTTCCAATGCCATTTGCTTTTTGACTGATATATTTTGCCGTTTTTCCTTCACTGGGCGTGTATTCGGTTTTATTGCCAAGTGGTGCTCTGCGAGTTCGAGCAGCAAGCCCGACATGTCTTCTGGGCCCCATTCTAAAAGATCGGCGTATTCCCACAGGATATCGAGCATGCTGGCGGCTAACTCGGGATGGACGTGCGTGGAAATGCATACCGTCTTCTCTGGCTCCTCCTCTCGCAAGGGCACGGCTACATCTCCTTCTAACGCTTCCGGTCTTGGGGCGTTCCCTCTTGTGTCCACTAGGTCCACCTCCAGTTGCTTAATGGTTGCCTGATAGCACTCCTTTGCTTGTTGCATGTTGTCCTTGACGCACCCTACTCCGTTTCCCACGGTGAATTTCAGCCTCTGGTGGCATGTTGAGGCTACCGCTCCGAAGGCGGACAAGAAACTGCACCCCAGGATCGCATTGTATTCAGAAGGGCAGTCCGCCACGTGAAATTCCATCGGCTTTATTTTGGTGACGTTGCCTTCTCCGATGGTTACGCGTAACGTTATTGCGCCCATGACCTTGATCTTGGACCCCGAGAAACCTACCAACTGTGTCGCCGAGGGTCTGAGATCCTCGGGGCCTTTCTTCATGCTCTTGAGGGTTGCGAAAAACAAGATGTCCGCCGAGCTCCCATTGTCAATAAGGGTTTTCGTGACCTTATACTTTCCAGTGTGGAAGGATATGACGAGGGGGGTATTCTGACGCCTCCGGATTGGCCAGTTCTGATGCATTGAACACAACCTCGCCGTCACTGCAGGCAACAAGGTTAGACATGACGCTCCCTCTTCTGCCGCTTTTGATCGCTTCCTTCCTCCAGATATTGTTATAATCTCCAAGTCATCCTCATCTAGACGAGGCTGTCTCCTTGGCGGGGGTGCGTTGGGCGGTGACGGGAGTCTTTCCCTTTTCCTTCGGCCTCGGGACCTCGACCTTCGGGGTGACCGTGACCTCCTATCTCGCGATCGGGACCGCGGCCTTCTCGGAGACCGGCTTCGATGACGCCTGAGAGATGGCGATCTTTCCTTCTCTTGCTTTTTAGCCTCCAGCCTGCTGCGTAAGTCCCCCTGTGCAAGGTTGGCGAGACTCATCTGGAAGTCTCGGCAGTCCACTGTATTATGTGTGGATTTCTTGTGCCAGTCGCATCACCTTCTAAATACGGGGGCCTCTGGACACCTTTGAGCGTCAGAGCGGGGTCTTTCATCGTGGACTCTCCCAGATGGGGCGTCCCCCCTTTTCCTTTCCGTGGCGTAAACCTCCCTCTTGCTTTCGGCCCCGCACGCCTTCGCCTTCTAGCTATGTCGTTCAGGGGACCGCCCCCTCCGGAGGGGCAACCTGTTCACCTTCTTCGTCTCTCATCCACTTCCCCGCGATCTGTCGGTACTAGAGCCTCTTCCAATGTTATGGTGCGTCGCACCAAGTTGTCTAGATCCGGCCACGTTTTTATGTCGCTTTCCTTTTTTTATTAATGCCCTTTGAAGCTCTTTGCTGCACGTGGCCATCCGCAAGCTCCCAGCTGCCACATTCGGCGTTACTCCCTGTATTTCACATGCAATAGTGCTCCCTCTGTCGTAGAAGTCCGCCAAGGCCTCTCCTTCTCCTTGTGTGCAGTTTATGAGCGTTGTGACCGTCAACCGCCGCCGGATTTGGGAGGCAAAATTCGACGTGAACAGGTTTGCAAAATGCTCGATGTTGTCGATGATTCC